TACACTGACTCCTTGCGATCTTGCTACAGTACGAAAGTGCAAAAACGCATAATCGCTCCGGCCCGCCTGGTGCGTTCCAGCCTGGGTTTTATTAAGATTATACTCCTATTCTGGGAAGCTTCGGCTCCCTAGAGCCTCATTATCTTCTTTTTTATCTCTTTAATATTTCGTGTATTAATTAACATGTATATAGGACGCGACACCGTACACACGCACACACTCCTACAAACGGGGCACATACTAGCCTAATAAGCTAACAGTTAGGGTCGCGATACCTCCCATCCCCCCGCCTCCTTCCCGTCCCCTCTAAATACTCATGTATTCCTTTAATTTAAACAATTACACTTCCCTGCAAGGCTTTGTATCACCTGCCTGAGGAAGTGCATTGCGGATGTTGTGATACTACTAATCCAAGAGGATCACATAGGATTTATGCGTAAGAAGACTGAGAAAAAAGAAAATTGTAACTGAAAATCTCTGAAGATATAAAAATCTTATTTTGTTATCACAATCGTCGTACTTACGAGGTCCAGTTGTGGTAACGGTAAGAAATGTATACGACTTTTAATGGACCGAAACATTTCTTACCTATAACAAATATTTCTTTAGACCCCTTACCTATTTTAATATTCTTTTTCTCCTTTTCATTGTTTCCTTCTTCTCCTCATATTTTTTTTAACCTTCAAAAAAAGCAGCTTACAATAACATGTGCGATACGAAGGGCAATCGAGCCACGACTTCCATACTGCTTCTCAGCTTCGGATTTGTAGTAGACCAGTACGCCCTGTTCCAGCTCAAAATATCGTTTCTGCCAGCCGTACACAAAATTCGTCCATTTATATAACACACCGCTCACTTTCAACCTGAAATTCTGCTTTGCCACATACACACAGACACACTTCCGATACACCAAGAATAATACTTCACATTCATAAAACAATGCTCAAGAAAATATCACCCTCTCCAAAACTAAACCTACAAAATGATACCATAATTCACGGGCTTTCTAAATTGGCACTTCCTGCTTTCCCACAACTGTCAAAATTCGATTGTGTTCCTCTCAATGGCGGGCCAATAGTGCCAAACAAACTACTGATGTATGCAGATTTTGTACGCAGGGGTGGAGGTTGAGCGGGTGT